ACATAGAGCTACTGTAGCACTCCTGCTCAGTTTCTGGTACCATTATGCAGTTTAGGGTCCCTATTATGGTTGTTGACCCCTATTATGGTTTGCTGTCTGGGGCAAGTTGCTCCCTTAAAGTTTATGTATACTGTACAGTAGCTACTGTACTAAATTTAAAGCAAAATTAATTATACTTTCCAATTACTGTAGGTATGAAGAAATCTGCATACAGTGCAGGTAAACAACACATACAACCAGCAATACCTAAAAACAAGAAAGCAAAGTCCGCTCCTCATTCAAAATCTGGTTCAACCAAGATCAAACCAAAGGCAACCATTAATATCCCAACTGGAGAAATAGGAAGTATGCTATTCTTCAGTTGTTCGCTTCAGTGATTAGTGCTTTATAACTGGTACACATGGTGATCAAATTCAAAAGTATATAATACTTTTTGTTTGTGGAAACACCACGTAAATTTATTACTGCAAAGCTTTCGATCCATAAGCCCGAATCTTCATCAGTGCAGATGAAGATCCGGGCTTACAGATCGAAATTATTAGCACTGATGAAGATCTGGGCTTACGGATTGAAAGCTTTGCAGTAATAAATTTACGTGGCGGTTCCACAAACAAAAAGTATTATATGTTTTATTTCCATGCAAACCTGCAAAGAACTTACAGTAAATTCAAAAGTATTGACAATTATTGGAGTATTAAATAAATTATGCTAACTGTAAATGTTCCATTACATGTATTTATTGCAAAACACAAGTTCAATACAGTGAATATAGTGCCTCTGATATCTGTGAGTGATGTTAGACTTTGACCATCACTCGTACTGTCACATTTGATGAAATCCACCTTTTGATGTTCTTTTTAATTTTTCCCATTCTTGATATTTAACCATTTTTTTCATTGTGTATTTAGGTAATGTTCAAAAATCAAAGATTGCGTACAATGAAAGAGTTGTAGCATCAACTCCAGTTCTTACTGCCGAACAACGCAGACACATGCAAGAACTGCATAAAAGAGAAAATGCCTTAACAGAACAGATACAACTTTTGCAAGAAGAATACAACAAGCTAGAGGTACTGTACTGCAATGAAGCAACTGTCAAATAATTGTAATTAGTAACATTAATTAATGTAATTAGTAACAATTAGTAACATTAACATGTAATTAGTAACATTAATTAGTAACATTAATTAACCATTTACATAACGTCACAAGTCAAAGCAATGAGTGACTGTATGGCATGGGGAACGGTGGGATTTTCAAAACATTAAAACTAAAGACAATGAAGAATTCCGATCACTGGATCTGATCTACTTGTTATGCAAAGTGGAACAGAGACGGATTTTCATATTTTCGTTCGGGGGGGGGGTGGTGGATAAATATCGGGGGGGGGGCGCTGCTTGCTTTGGCCGGGGCCTGGTGGCAACGCCCGGAAAGGCCAAGGAAGAAGTTTAACAAAATTTGTTTTCTATGCCTGCATGGCGAGATCTGAGACCATAATATTGTTAATTTTACAAATTTAGTAGTAAGAATAATCACATATGAAACTATCAAATCAAAATATATATAATTTGCGGGGGTGCAAAAACTTTTGAGGGTGGTGCCAAATGCCTCTGGGGGGTGCAAGTCATTTCTGGAATCCGTGCCTGAAGTGGAATGCAGAGGGCCTATTAAGTTTGATTTGGAATTACAGTAGGTACTCAACTTATGTACATACTGTTCCAGTTTCTTACTGTTTTCTTCCACTTTCTGTCCCTCATGCCTCCGAATCGAAGCAAGTTGTTTAGAAATATTTCGTTGACCAAACAAATCAAACAACACCAAAATGCGTTTCAAGGAACAGGCCGAACAGCCCACTGTGACTTGTAAATGTGTTTTGATCTCAATTCAGATTTGTATTTAGTACACTATGCAACTAACCGATCATTTGATCTCAACAGAAACACAGTGATACGG